GAAGAAATGTAGACATTTACATACCACAGAGTCTGTCACAGATTAAGAAAGTAATTATAAACAGAGCAATTCAAATGCTCTATGTACCGTCCCACATCATGTGTTCCGCCCCACACGGTGGACGAACTGACGAACTCACACTGGACTGCCTCAAGCAGTGTACGCCCCACGCATAGTGTACCACGTTAAGCGTAATATACCGCCCCACGCAAAATATACCACCTCATGCATAGTATACCCCCCACGATATACTATGCTTGAGTCATATACCACCTGACAGCAGTATACCGCTAAATAATCCATGCCTATTACGCACGTTGTCAGATGACTTACAGCCGTCGGGTTTTCATCAGGAATGGTGGAAAATTAAATGTTACAAAACGTGTGGCTTAAAGGATAAGGTCATCTCGGCATTATCAGCTAATTTAGTAAACATTGGGACCGATGAGACACTGTCATTCTAATCCGTGATAATTACTCGATATCTTACACAAGAGTGCCGGCGGAAAATTGGTTGTGATTCATTTAAATGATTCATTTCACACTCTGTAAACCTGTCAATACAACGTCTATTTAGAACATTGTAGATGTTGCTGTGTGTATGGGTTGTGTGGAAGGTGTGATGGTGTTGTGGTAGATGGTATAAAACGTTCGCAAATTAATGACTAGGGTTTTACGGGCTCACCATAGCCCGTGCTACATGGACACTTTTGTTTCTGAGTAGCTAAATCTAAAACAATGACTACGGGGAAGAGGTCCTTCTCTTTATGCCCCGCCTACTGTCCCAGCTGTGTCTGGGTACAAGTGGCAGGATGAACAACCCAGCGGGTTTTCTTCCTTTTGGGGAGTGTTGTACATGCTGCTATGGCGGTGTGTCCACTCACAAGATGAGTGGCGCTGCCCAATAAACTCGCCCCTCGGGGCAAAATTAAAAATTTAGCCTTGTGCCTATTGAGTTGTAATTTAACTTTTCCGACGATCAAATTCTTTGTCGAATCTGGCCTTAAAGCTGTGGATGAAGGTGGCTGCTACAACTGTTTCTCTTACGGTACTCCATTTACTGACCATCCGGACATAGTACGAGTATCATCTTAAATTTCTTCCACTCATTTGCATTTCCACCTTTCATCCATGTCTTCTTGTCTTACTTTCTCTCGATTTACAGGGGTTATTCTTATATACGCTGTTCTCTTTAGTATCCGTTGTGTTCATATCCCCTTTTCTTATTTTCTCTAACATTGTGAGATTTAGTTCCCTTAACATATCCTCTCCGCTTAATCTTCTTAAGTCGTGGCGCTAATCTTGCTGCAAACCTCTGCAATATTTTCAATTTTGGATTTGTGCTGCACAAAGTGCAGATTTCTTAGGAACCTGGAATGGGGCTTACGGCAGAGCGTAAGGACTCCCTCACGACTCTCGTTTTCCCAAGCATAGTCTTGAACCTCTGAATGGCGTAAATCGCGATGGTGATGTCTATTCCACTGGAATAAGAAACTATAGGCAAGCGCCCCACGACGACGACATTTTAATGGGAGACCCATACAAAAAAAGAGAGCCAACAGGGTTCCTCTCGGTTTGTCACCCATTATCTTGATAGAGTTCTTATTTAGGTTTTAGATGTCGTTCTATGTTTTTAGCTTTCCATGTGTTGTTGATGGGATGGTTGTGTGCTGCTGATGTTGGTGTGTGAACGTGTCGGTTACTGAGTTTGTGGAGTGATTACATGTACCTCCCTCACACTTGACTCAGGCCTGACGCACTCACACTTGACTCATCCACAGTTGTGCTCTTTCCCTCTCCCTAAAGCCTATCCGCCACTCCAGCAATTTTATAATCTCCATCATTAACACTAATGCATTATTCTGTGCAGCAAACCTGAATTATTACCATTATTATTGATATATTTATTCTTAAGCTTAACCTGTGGTCGATGCGGCGACTTTTGTAAACTCACATTAATATTTAGAATCGTATTGTTAATGCCATCGATTTCACATTCGTCGAAGCTCGACCAACAGCCTCGCTCCGAAGGTCAGACACCCGGTTGTGTCCCGTCAACGGAACCACGGCACCAGCGTTCCCTACCAACCCAATTATACTTTTTCATCAACAGCCTTACTCATGGTCACGTCCCGGTGGGCCTGACAGGGCAAAGTGTCACATCGTCACCTGATCAAACAGGCTTGACGAAATAGATCTTATCGGCATCCGTGTAACCCTCCCTCCCTCCCCCTCACAACGCAAACATTGATATGATTCAAATTAAGGCAACAAAACTGTTGAAAAAAATATTAGATAATTAATTTTTGCAGAGTGGAAGACGGTTGGAACAAGTTAATTAAGTAAACAATATGGTGAATGCCAAAACCTTCTGTAGTTTCCAAGCGTCATGTGACAAAGTGCTAGGAAGACGGGACACCACGAGCATAGCTCATATCCTGTAGTTATACTTAGGTAATTAAACACACACACACACACACACACACACATATGTGTGTGTGTGCTCTCTTTATGCCTCGCGGCATATGCGAGGCTGGCTAACATCAGAACGGCGTTCAGGAACCTGTGTAAGGAATTATTCAGAATCTTGTACACCACATATGTAAGACCAATCCTGGAGTATGCGGCCTCAGCATGGAGCCCGTACCTTGTCAAGCACAAGACGAAGCTGGAAAAAGTCCAAAGGTATGCTACTAGACTAGTCCCAGAACTAAAAGGCATGAGTTTATTTATTTTATTTATTTATTTATTTATTTATTTATTTATATATATACAAGAAGGTACATTGGGTTTGTGAGAATACATTGGATAGTACAGTATTTACACTTGTAAAGCCACTAGTACGCGCAGCGTTTCGGGCAGGAGTTATGATGAAAGGCTGCGGGAAATGCACCTTACGACACTGGAAGACAGAAGAGTAAGGGGGGGACATGATCACAACCTACAAAATCCTCAGGGGAATCGACCGGGTAAACAAGGATGAACTATTCAACACTGGAGGGAGGCGAACAAGGGGACACAGGTGGAAGCTGAGTACCCAAATGAGCCACAGAGACATTAGAAAGAACTTTTTTCAGTGTCAGGGTAGTTAGTAAATGGAACACACTAGGAAGTGATGTGGTGGAGGCTGACTCCATACACAGTTTCAAATGTAGATATGATAGAGCCCAGTGGGCTCAGGAATCTGTACACCTGTTGATTGACAGTTGAGAGGCGGGACCAAAGAGCCAGAGCTCAACCCCCGCAAGCACAATTAGGTGAGCACACACACACACACACACACGGGGCCAAGACCGTCAGTAGTTTCAAAGCGTTATATGACAAAGAGTACTGGGAAGACGGGACACCACGAGCGTAACTCTCATCCTGTAACTACACTTAGGTAATTACACTTGCTCTCTACCCATCAGGCAGTGCAGTATGCACCCACTTCCATGTGGGTAGACTGTTATGAAGCACTTGAGGTACTCAGTTACTACTACTAAGGTACTACATTTAGTAAAGGCGACTATCTTGTTTATTTAGTTATTATAATCCTGTTGTGGATTGTATGATCTTAAAATTTATATTAAGTTGTCTGTTCTAATGTTATTGTGTCAGTATGACTATATTTAGTCGACTGTTGGGAATATATCTCCCTGGAAAGTAGTTTGTATAAGTACAAATTAACGTTTTCTAAATCTCCATTTTGGGAGTCGGCGCCCTTGTAAATATATATTATGAGAAAAATCGATGGTTCTAGCGTTGAGGATGATAATTATATCAACTTAAGAATAGTTGTCGAGCTGAGGACAGCATCTTAACAGTGTTGATAAGGAATAACGCATTAATATACGGTAAGATAACGTAATTCCGACGCACTTGAACCGGACGTTCTGTCTGTCATTCATCACGGAGTCTGATAAACAACTTTTGTACATTGCTATCGCTAGTAAAACAGAAGATATGATGATCAAACTACGCATCAGAAAATGGAGAAACAACGACGTATCGGTCCATCCTGGACTATTATCATGGAAAAGATATCCAGAAAGAGCAGAATAGAATAAGGCTTCACTGTACTGTCACTGCCTCACTCCCTGTTTTTCAAAATTCAAATTCAAAATTCAAATGTTTATTCAGGTTTAAAGTACATACATACAAAGTGTGATACAAATATTGACGAATTTATAGATAGAGCTAGTACATACAATACCTAAAGCCATTGTTTCGCAAAGCGTTTCGGGCAGGCAAAGCGTCCGTCCAAGGCACAATGTATGGTTGTTACAATGCCATGTTTAGTAGTTATACTCATGTTCTTTGCCATTAAGTACAACTTACTCACATTTCGTACCATTCTTCTAAAGTGTTTCGTAAATCTGCCTGTGTGTGCTTGCGGAATTCCATTGATTTCTATGAGGCTTCGTCCCCCCTCCACTCCACTACCCTATTCACCCTCCCAGACCCAGAGAGAGCAGCTCTCGCTGGCCTTGAGAGACGGGCCTTTCAAAAACGTTATGCCACTACAAAAGGTGTGTAACCAAAGACGAGTTCTGCGACTACAGACACTTTACTTCATATTACCATTTTCAACCATTTTGTCTTACTTGTATCAAAGTCATTATTATCATCTCAAAATGCTTTGCAATGCATATAAATAAATTAATGGGTCACAATTATATTATTACATGATTACGTAATTTTATATATATATATATATATATATATATATATATATATATATATATATATATATATATATATATATATATATATATATATATATATATATATAATGTGTGTGTGTGTGTGCTTGGGAGTACCCAGGGCATAGGTTGGGATCTTCCTCATGGCTCCTACTAATTTTCTCATAATGCTGGTGCCACCGACATGATGCCAGTGTTACTGATGTGTTACTGAATGTTTAACTGGCGTAAGGGATGTCACTTGGGTGTGACTGGCGTGGGGTTTGTTGGTAATGTCACTGGTGTGTTGCTGACGATGTGTTGCGGGTGTTGCAGCGGTACGAGGAGACGGTGGAGGTCGTGACTAAGGAGGACGAGGCTGGCAACGTGACCAAGACCACCAAGACCACCACCAGGGCCCTCGACCCCTACTCCACCTCCCAGCTGGCAGCCGCTATTGACGGTTGGTGGCGCTCTTTCCTACATCTTTTATTTGTATAATGGTGATGTGTCCAACAGCCTAACAACCTGGTTGATCAGTCCAGCAACCAGGAGGCCTGGTCGAGATAATTCAGAATGTTCATGTAACTCTAAATTCCCCTCCGGCGGATCGTTTATATAGCCAGCGGTGCACATAATGAAGCTGGTGGTACTCCACTGTCAACAACACACACACACACACACACACACACACACACACACACACACACACACACACACACACACACACACACACACACACACACACACACACACACACACACTAAATATGCATACAAACATACCTAGGAGGGAGGGAATTATCAGGGGAAAGCGCCAAGCCATTACGACTATATAGCACTGGGAAGGGGTCAGGATAAGGATTTGGGATGGGACGGGGTGGGGGGAAGGAATGGTGCCCAACCACTTGGTGGATGATCGGGGATTGAATGCCGACCTGGATGCAGCGAGACAGTCGCTCTATCGTCCAACCAAAGTGGTTGGGCAAACATGCCTAGGAATAATATATATATATATATATATTTATACAATAGTTACATCCTGTCGGAAGACCCATAAAAAGGTGTTATGCTCCAGACTCCCCCAAGCCCCGGAGAGCGCGGACCAAGTCCTCGTCGTCGTCGTCTTCCTCGTCTTCGCCAGACCGGGCCAAGTCCTCCAAGACCAGCGCTAAGGTGAGTCTTGTCACGCACCACCGTTCCCGGAGATTGTATGTCATATCCTGGACGCAAGGTAATTAGTGGCTGATGTTTATCCTAAGGTCTGTGAGGATGGTGGTGATGCTAGTAGGGGGTACTAATGATGTTAATGATGGTGATGCTGCTGCTGGTGGTGATGCTGCAGATGGTGGTGATGCTGCGGATGGTGATGATGATGATAATGGTAATATATTGTTGTTTATTGATAATATAAGAGAAACTACAGATGTTTCGCCACTCTTTAATTCTCCCGCACCTCTGTGGGCGTCTCTTGGCCCAGCAGAAGGTCGAGTCTGGGGGAGCCAAGTCTAGCAAGAGCGGGTTCCGGATCAAGTTGAAGAGCGGTAAGGCTGACGATGGGGACTCGAGCGATGACGACGACTTCGCCAAGGGAGTCCACAAGAGTGTCAACGAGTACAGGACCAAGCACGGGGTGTCCAAGCTCAAGCTCAACAAGGAGGTGGGTGTCGGTGTGTATGGCGGTGTATGGGGTGTAGTGTGGGTGCTGAGTGGCGTACGACACCGGACGGGAGGAGGTGTATGGGGAATACGACAAAAGGTGGCGCCAGGTTAGTGAAGAGGAGGTAGTGTAATGGCGCCTGGACCATTCACAAGTCGACTTGAGAATGGTCCAGGACGGACCGAAACGTCGTCGTCCCTTCACCTCCTAGTGTGTGGTCTGGTCAAGAGGTAGTGTAATGGCGCCAGGTTAGTGAAGAGGAGGTAGTGTAATGTTTGCGTGCTTGTAAGGTAATGTTATACACACAACGTGAGGGAATATATAAATGTACGGAGGTCATAAATGGCTGACGGTGCCCCGCTAGTGGCGTCAATACTCCCAGCGCTCTTCTTCCTCTCCCCCAACTCCCGCCATTGCCCCCCACAATGCTCAGTGTGGGCCGTATTTTCCCCCGTTCCCACCTCCATTTTCACCCACTATCAAGCTACTCGAGCTACCCCCCCCCCACCCCACCCATCTACGCTGCTGGCGCTACCCCCTTCCCCCCATCACAATAAGAATTCCTGGCGCCATGATTCTCACCCCCTGCCCCCAAGAACTGCTGGCGCCACAGCCCTTCCTCTAGCGCTACTGGTAACAACACCTCTAGAGCCACTAACGCCACTACCCTCGAGTTACTAGTTACACAATTTCCCTAGAGCTACTGGGGCCACAAGAGCCCCCATAGAGCTAGTGTTGCTATAACCTCCTCCTAGAGCTACTGGCACCACAAGAGTCCCAATAGAGCTAGTGTTGCTATAACCTCCCCCTAGAGCTACTGGCGCCACAAGAGCCCCCATAGAGCTAGTGTTGCTATAACCTCCCCCTAGAGCTACTGGCGCCACAAGAGCCCCCATAGAGCTAGTGTTGCTATAACCTCCCCCTAGAGCTACTGGCGCCAAAATCCATCCTACAGTTACTGGCGCCACAACCCCCCACCCTAGACTTACAGCTCCACGCGGCAGTGTATACAGCTCATGGTTATGCTGGTGTGTGGTGGGGGAGAGGGGGCGCTGGCACACACTATTGACCGCTCATGACCTACTTGTGGAGTGTTGGCCTTGCTCTCCACCGAAATATTAATGACCCTAGATATAGATTCCTCTGTTTCACACACTTGTCGTATCTACCATTAAATAGCACCAGGTTGTTAATACTGAGAAGTTCTCTCAATTATGAACCTTTAACTTGGATACGTACATGAGCCCGGTCACAGGCTGGGGCTGATGATGTACGAGGGAAGACCAGTGTTGGTGTTGACCAGACCACACACTAGAAGGTGAAGGGACGACGACGTTTCGGTCCGTCTTGGATCATTCTCACAATCGACTTGAGAATGGTCCAGGACGGACCGAAACGTCGTCGTCACTTCACCTTCTAGTGTGTGGTCTGGTCAACTTACTTTAGCCACGTTATTGTGACTCTTCGCCTGCACCTGTGTTGGTCCCACCCAGTTGATGGAGTGGAGCAAGGGAGGAGGGGGGAAGGGGGGGTTACCTGCTCTTGCCTTCCACAGGTTGATGGAAGTCAATTCCCCAGTCAAGCGGGGAATGATTGACTCACTGAGGAGATAGCTCTTGAGGCCCTTGTTAAATCTAATCCCCGAAATAGAGGTTAAAATCAGTCTTTCGCGGAGAGGTTTAATTCAGCTTTTACTCATGCGTACATGTGTTAAATTCCATCCTGGACCAGGATCATCAAGGATTTACGACCCCACTTCCGAAACTTATACATCTTTCATCAATCATGGCGACTTTGTTTACATTTATAAGCAGTTATAAATAACCCAGTAGTGCTTCGGAGCTCATAAACTTTTTAATAAATGTAAAGAAAGCTAGCGTGAGGAAGGATGTATAGGTTTCGTAAATGGCTGCATAAATGCTTGGCAAATCATGGTCTGACTCTGGTACAAGCGTTAAGTCTTGCCCTAACCTTGACGGACATGTGTTAAGTGTGCTGTTGTTGTTTAAGATTCAGCTAGTGGGAACAAAAAGTTCCAAGTAGCACGGGCTATGGTGAGCCCGTAGTGGACTTACCTGGCACAGGAGCGGGGTTGTAACTCTCTGTTGAAGTGTGCCTTCGATGATGATAAAGATTAAGCCACCCAAGAGGTGGCACGGGCATGAATAGCCCGTCCAAGTGTGCCTTCGCCTGGTCATGTTAGGTATGTCGCCTCACTGGCATATAATGGTTGATGTCACTCATAACCTTCACATATAAGGGTATTTTTTTTTGGTAACCTTGACACAAGGGTAATATAAGAGCCATTAGCGTGACGACACAATAATGGTGAGGCACTGTTTGCTGGTCTCCCATTACCCATTGTCTAGGACACGTGGTGACCTCAGACTTACTCCCCCCTTGCTAGTCATGACTGAATGGAGGGATGGGTAATGATGACTGAATGAAGAAGCTAGTGTTGATGCCTTAATGAAGACGCTAGTATTGATGACTGAATAAAGGAGAAAATTCGTGGAAAACCAAGATGTGAAGAATGAACCAGGGAACTAGTAGTGGAAAATTACTTAAGCTGCATGTAGCAAAGACTGATTGAGGGAATTAGTAACGAACAAATGAATTAAGGAGTGATTAAGTATGGATGAAGGAGCTACAGTGACTAACTAACGAGGAAGCTAGAATGAACAGTGAATAAGGAAATTAGCGGTGAAGAATGAAGGAGCTAGTGATGGAGAATAAACGAGGGGGCAATATAAAAAGAAACTGAATGAGATCGTAACAGCATAAATTATATTACCAAGGGTAATATTGTAGGAGTGTTCCCAGCAGTGAAGCGTGATCCACAGCATTACCCCGGGGTAATGCTGTGCTTATCCTTTTGGATAAGCACCTCCAAAGGATACCTGATCAACCAGGCTGTGACTCATACGTCAGGCTGCGAGCAGCCGCGTCCAACAGCCTGGTTGATCAGTCCAGCAACCAGGAGGCCTGGTCGACGACCGGGCCGCGGGGACGCTAAGCCCCGGAAGCACCTCAAGGTAAGGTAACCTCAAGGTAGGGGTGTTTCACTGCCTTGTACCTCCCGCCATAATCAGACGCCACTTTCTTAATTCACCAGTTTGGTCAGACTTGCCGTATACGTACCGATATTAATTAAGATTATGCTTTGCTATGGAATTATCGCTTGTGAGTGTGTGTGATTGACTGTGTATAGCCTCCTGTTATTGGCTGTGTATACTGTTATTGTTTGTGTATTCCGTTATTGTTTGTGTATACCGTTATTGTTTGTGTATACTTTTATTTACGATGTATCCTGCTATTGTTAGTGTGTGTGTGTGAGTACTTACCTAGTTGTGCTTGCGGGGGTTGAGCTCTGGCTCTTTGGTCCTGCCTTTACATGTGTGTGTGTGTGTGTGTGTGTATATGTTACGTTAATGAATGATTATATATTTCGATACATTTCAATCGACCAGTAAAATATATGTTAATGCTGAGGCCAAATGAGCCTGCAGGAGTGCTGAAGACCACCTCTCTCCACCCAGGTGTTCGTCGTGATCCTGCTGGTGAGGCCTGTCTACTGTACATGTAAATAATAGAAGTCTTTAACTCTGGGTTTGCTACCTAACCTGGCGACGCGGTGACTGGGTGGTGTGGGAGCCCCGCTCACTACACCCTAACATTATCTCCTACGTGTAATTTCCTCCCATCAACACCAGATTTTATGAACCCAAAATAGGGACTACATGCCAAACACAGATTTTGTTGTCGCTGTTGAGATTTAGGCTCAAGAGATATATACCTACTGGAACCGGTTAGGCTATCCAGCGCCATGTTTTCTCCGGAACACGATCTGGCGGTTATTGTACATCCAGGTCCATAATTACTGTTGGGGTGGACATGAACAAACTTGGAAGGATAAATGGAAGACTTGCGTCTGACAGAAAGACATTTTTCAGTACCTGAACACCTAAAGAGGTTCCGTTGCTACCACGAAGGTCCTCCACGAAAGGGGGGAACCCTTTGAGGCTTTCACGTGTACAGTACTTGCATATTGTCTTCTACAATATAAAAGTTGATCTACAATATACTTCTATTTCAGTTTTTTTATTTTATTTCATTCATTTTTTCATTTTCTGGTTTTTAAAACCCTTGTATTTTATTTAATTTAATACTACATTTCAAAACATGTTACAACATTGTTACATACGGTTTCACATTCAACAATATAGTGTTCTAGTGAATATATTAAAGGTTTGTAGCAGAGTTTATAAGCTGAATATTCTGGTAGTGGCTCAGCCTCACTAACCTGCCAAATGTGCCTAATTAATTTTTTGTCAATAAAGATGTTAGTAATAATATTAATTGACAAAAAATGAATTAGGCACATTTGGCAGGTTAGTGAGGTGTATGTCTCGCTTCATGCAGGTCGGCGTTCAATCCCCGACCGTCCAAGTGGTTGGGGCACCATTCCTTTCCCCCGTCCCATCCCAAATCCTTATCCTGATCCCTTCCCAGTGCTATATAGTCGTAATGGCTTGGTGCCTTCCCCTGATAATTCCTTCCTTCCTTACATAGAAAGTACAAAGTTAGTTGTCACAAGCTTTAGAGTTCCTGAAGCGCCTATGATAATGGGAAGGAGCCATGAATGCAGTGTGATTTTCTTGTCTATATTAATAAACTCGTTTCTTTTATAGAAATTATAAATATTTTTAACGCTATATTTGTTTTCAACTCGTCAGCGAGAGAGGCGGGCAAACATGCCACCAAGTCTCCACTGGAATGCGATCAGCGCGAGTACTCTAAATGCTGTAGTAAAACTACAGTAGTCAGTCGACTAAGGCAGTGTCTGGGATGCTCCCGGACGCAGGTTCGAATCCTCGTCACGGCCCTTGTGTATTTGTTCGCTGTAGTAAAGTTATATGTATATAGAGTTGCTTGTGTGCGAGTATAATCTGCTATAGCCTCGTGGTCAAATTTCGTCGCTGTTGATACATTGCTGGAGCTCTCATGGCTTTCATAAATAAGAATTAATTTCTTTGTTAAAGGTATAATGGTGCCACTATTCATGTGTGTAAATATATTATGTTAGGAGAGTGAGTGAGGGAGGTGCTGGTTACCATAGTCACGGGGGGTGTGGGTGTCCTGGAGACCTTGTCCTAGAAAACATGGTGAATGACCTCGGTGGCTGGGCCACCAGTACGCCACCCCGGTAATTAGCGACAACATAACGCGATTCCTGTTGACGTTGCTCCAGTTAGGCACGGAGAGTATTTATAATTCAGGGGGTAGGGGGGCGGCAGTCGACCTTCACCCACTTAACTTCAAGTTGTGTTGCTGGGCTTGTTTTGTTGCCCGGGTGATTGGAGTGGCTCCATATTTGGTGCACATATTGCAAACATGTAAGGATTAAATTGGCGTCGCTTGCATATATGTAGATCTTATCGCTCTAAAACTAGTCTGCTATCATAAACGGCATCGCTACAGAGGATTAAATGTCGTACATGTTCCAATTATTGTAAAGCTTTAAAAATAAAAATGTACGTAATGTAATAAGTAGAGTAAGTTTGCTCGTGTTGACTTATATGAAGAGATGTTGGGTGTCAGAGCGTGGGAGGACGCGAGGCACTCCTGCCTGTTAGTTCAGCATGTTGTTGGCTTGTAACTGGAAGGGTGACCACTAGCACACGGCCTCGACTTAAGCTAAATGGCAAGTTGAACTGGCGACTCGTCGATGTTTCTTCTATCCCTTCCTCCCTCTCCCATCCCTCTCTCAACCTTGACCAGTCACTCCTTCACCCACCCCTCCCTCTCTCTCTCTCTCTCTCACCCACCCCTCCCTCTCTCTCTCTCTCACCCACCCCTCCCTCTCTTTCTCACCCACCCCTCCCTCTCTCTCTCTCACCCACCCACCAACGACCCATTACTCCTGCACCCACCGTGTGAGGGCGCGTGCAGGAAGCAACTTCCACAAGCTGGGCCACTATGTGCGATGTGTATGGCCTCGTGTAAGCTATAACACCGCTCATATACCACGTTCCGCCCGTCGAAGAACAACAAATATACGTTTATATAATAAAGTTCATCCATATACACTGCAATGACATAATAAGTACACACTTGTTTTGCTACGTTCATACACACTAACCTGTGTATTGTGAATTAAAAAATGTAGATAGTGTCCGGATGACTAATCGCTTGTAACAGTGATGGCAGCGTTTACCAGCTGGGAGCCATCTTGTGATACACTGCTGGCATTTTAACAAAACTGTATATTAGTATGTAGTGTAACTAGCAGAGGTGTATGGTGCTAATGTGGTGGCAGTGTAGGGCAGGTGTTGCTGTGGAGGAGTGGAAGGTGTTAACATACTAACATACTAACGATATGTTCTTTCTCCATTCCCCCCCTCACCCAATTCCTCTTTCCCTACGCTTTATTTCACTCAATGGCTGCGTTTCATCCCTTCTCAATGTCAATTTGTTAAATGTTTCACTTGTGTTACTTTGTTCAATATTACTCTGAAATTCGCTCCGACTTCCATATAATTTCACTTATTATCTCCCCTTTGTTGCCGATATATATATGTTTTCCGTTTTGTCCTCATTCTCTTGGTGCCCAATCTTTTCTGATTTTCATCCCACTGCCTGTTGTTGGTGTGGGTCCGCTTCCTTGCTTCTCCCCCATCCTCTCCCTCGCTTTCCTGTGGACACCTACGCCCAACTTCTCTGATCATCCTTCTGTGACTGCCCTCCTGATACTGATGTGGCTGTCGTCGGCTTCCTGTGGCCTCCTCTCCTGCTGAGGTCACCCTCGTCTCCTGTGAATGCCTTCATCTCCTCGCCCTGCTGTGGTTTCCTCCTCGCCTCCTATGGCCGTCTCCCTTCACCCCCTCCTGCAGATGAACAAGTACGCTAAAGAATGGGCGAAGAAGATGGCGACTGAGGACAAGCTGGCTCTCCGTCCGGATAACAAGTATGGAGAAAATGTCTTCTGCCTCAGCTCCAACACCAAGGAATTCAAGGTGAGTCCCGATATTTTCCTCAAACTACTTATTTTGAATTTAATATTTTGCATGAATACTGTATTTGGAAAGAAGTGAAGTATTTGATAAAAAAAAACTGTTAAAAATATTATTAATTATATCTTGAAAACAAAATATACTCGTGTTAAAACGACAAATGATGCTCTTCCATCTCTTCGTAGTGAAAGGAGGTTTCAGTCACACAACCTTATACAAATTCAGTCCCCACTGCTGTGATGACACTCAAAATTAATTAAAGTATCAGAGAGTAGTACTTGGGGCATGGAGCGGCTGGGGTAAGTGTGTCAGCACTAATATACTGGATAACTGTCCCCAGGTGAAGCCGGAGCAGGTGGTGGACAAGTGGTATGGGGAGAGCAAGGAACACAAGTTTGGAGAGGAGCCTCAAGGAACACGCCTAAAATCGGGTCAGTGTCAAGGGTTAGTTGCTATATGTATGCAGATATTAAGTCACAATAACGTGTCTGAAAAATTAAACATCAAACTCAGATATCAGAATATAAAGGAAGTGACGTTTCGCTCCGATAATGGTCCACGACGGACCGACACGTCACTTCCTTTGTTTTAAGATGTGTGGGTTGGGTGTCCTGCTGTACATACCTCACCACTATACAACCCTTACACAATATATTATTTGTCTTTGATAATCTTTAGCTCTCTGAAACATTATAAATAACTACTGCTGCTATGAACAAATCCACAAGGGCCGTGACGAGGTCCTGGTTTGTGTCTCGGAGAGACTGCAGGATCCCTTGGTAAATCAGGATAATTTCCCGGTTGCAATTCTTTTGACCACGTCGTAGCTCAGTCGATTAAGGCAACGTCTGGGATCCTCTCGGACGTAGGTTCGAACCCTCGTCACGGCCCTTGTAGATTTGTTCATTTGATGCATCACACTATTGTGATTTCTGTGTGTAACTACTGCTATGATGTGATATACATTCTAACGCTGTACGTATAAGATGAGCAGCGTTAATGAGTGTTGGTGTGCGTGGCAGGCCACTTCACGCAGATGGTGTGGAAAGACACTACCCAGATGGGCGTGGGCAAGGCGCGAACCGCCGCGGGCACCAAGGTCTTCGTAGTGGCCAACTTCGACCCTCAGGGCAACTGGATGGGCCAGTTCGCTGACCAGGTCCCGCCTGTGGGGTAAGGCACTACTAATATTTACTGTATACCGCCTGACGCTCACTAACTGGAGTATACACATTGTTATGATTTCTTAATTCATTTATGCCTGTGTTAACAATGAGTGACTTGGTAAAGGAAATAATATATTTAAGGAATTGCTATGAACACACGAACATAAGATTAAGGCAGCATCGAACAAGCCTCTTGGCCCATACTGGTCTCCTTGTTACACCACTGGTCTTGTTACACCACTGGTCTCCCTGTTACACCACTGGTCTCCTTGTTGCACCACTGGTCTCCCTGTTACACCACTGGTCTCCTTGTTACACCACTGGTCTCCCTGTTACACCACTGGTCTCCTTGTTGCACCACTGGTCTCCCTCTTACACCACTGGTCTCCTTGTTACACCACTGGTCTCCCTGTTACACCACTGGTCTCCTTGTTACACCACTAGTCTCCCTGTTACACCACTGGTCTCCCTGTTACACCATTGGTCTCCCTGTTACACCACTGGTCTCCCTGTTACACCACTGGTCTCCCTGTTACACCACTGGTCTCCTTGTTACACCACTGGTCTCCCTGTTACACCACTGGTCTCCTTGTTACACCACTGGTCTCCTTGTTACACCATTGGTCTCCCTGTTACACCATTGGTCTCCCTGTTACACCACTGGTCTCCCTGTTACACCACTGGTCTCCTTGTTACACCACTGGTCTCCCTGTTACACCACTGGTCTCCTTGTTACACCACTGGTCTCCTTGTTACACCATTATTAATACTAATAACCAATGGTGGCTCGTGGAAAAAATAGGATGGAGGGACTGCGTCACTGTAAGCTTCACATAACAGCATAAAAATAATAAAAAGAAATTAAAGAAAAATAACTAAATAAATATATATAACTAAAGTAAAGCCATTAATAACCACACCAAATACGTATCGTAGGTCAGTAAGAGTCGTCACTGCCAGGTTGGTGGAGGTATGAATGGCTCAGGTGGTGACGTTAATAGTACTTGAAAACAAAATAATCGCGTCAATGTTTGAGAGAGGGTAATTAGATTTAATAAAGTATTCAAAACGAGTTATAACACCACCCTCATCACCTCACTCAACGGGACGGTGTGATTAGGCTGCACTGAATGCAGCTCAACATTGTCAGATGTAGCGACGGTAAATCCTACACCATCGTACAACATCAAACTTCTATTTTGTATCGTTTGAATGAAAATTGGCAAAAGTCAGTTATAAATATCAAAAATAACATAGTGACATAGAAATATGACACATTTGTTAGTTGCTTATTATTCTAGTCATCTAGTGTGAGGTTGATGGAGGGAACTGCAGCTCAGCAGCTCCCGTGGGTCAGCCGCCTATGATGATAATAATAATAATAATAATAATAATAATAATAATAATAATAGTAATAATAATGAGAAAATCCACTAATAAGCGGTGGGTGCTTATCTACGACCCCGGCATTGCCAGTCATGAACTCTGCCACTAGACTACCGCTAACTTGTAAAAGTCATACAACCGGATTCCTACTAAAATCACAGGAAGTCTGGAGGGCCCTACTAAAGCCAGTCTTAAGTGTTATGAGCCACAAGCACTCGAGTGGAAGGGCAGAGTGGTCCTACACCTTTCGCCCCAACTTCAGCAACACACAAATCACATTAACATGACATATCAATGAGAAAATCTAATTTTCTCATTGATATATATCACTATAATGTGATTTATGTGTTTATAATAATAATAATAATAATAATAATAATAAGTCACAGACACTATTAGACGCTAGTAAAAATCTTCACGGTGGCAGGAGCCTCATCTTGTCACGAAAATACTTGAACAAAATCTTGAACAGCTTGAACATAATACAGTATCCTCAATGTTATACTGTATTTTGTGATTTATTTCATTTTAACATTAAAATTACTGATATTTTCATTGAACAAACGATTAAATTTTGAAAGGAAATAGGATTTTTTGAAATGCTTGATTAAAATGTACTTAAAACTGCTATAAACAAAAACTTGGGTCTTTGGCAAAATGTTGCGCAATTTTTTCGTGAGAAGTTCAACGTTAATTTCTCTTAATGATAACAGCGGGTTCCCCAAGACGGCTTCTGCAGGAAAGTCTTCCCTGTTCAGTAGCAAGACACGCAAAGCCTCATCCAGTGACTCTGACAGCGACGAGGACGACTTCGCTAAAGAATGCCTCAAGTCCCACAACGACTATCGTGCTAAGCATGGAGCGCCTCCCCTCAAGCTCAGCAAGAAGGTTAGTTCTCAAGGCTGCAGACATGGCGAGGTAACCAACACCAGACTATATCTGGCCCACGGGCCACATAGGAAGTAATTGTGGATTCTTAAATGTTCGTTTTTGATGCATTAAATTTCTTAAACAGCTCTTAAGATATAAAAAAATACAGTATGGTTTTGGATTTCAAACTTATAAATGAAACAGTTCAAGTAAAGGTATTCGTATATATAAACACATGCTCATGTCTTAATATAGTTCATTATATAGAAGCATTGTGTAGTTCCTAAGTAATTTATTACAATAGTAACTCATAAAACATTTCATTGTTATCATCATCAGTGCACCATTTTCGACTTCTTAAAAGAAGATAACATTTTGTATGCTAATCACTGAATACATTGTTCATGACCGGCAGCTGAGCAAGTATGCCGAGGAGTGGGCCAAGACTATAGCCAAGAAGGAGACGCTCCAACATCGTCCAAACAACAGTTATGGTGAGAATTTGTACTGTGCATGGTCATCCAACCCAAAGCACAAGATCAAAGGAAGTGAAGCTGTGGACTCATGGTACAGTGAGATTAAGGACTTCACCTTCGGCAGAGAACCCAGTGACCTCAGGGCTGGTTAGTTCTAATGTATTTTATGTCCGTTATTAACTATATTCAGTACTAGAGAATATGATATTGATCGTGATTGTACTTTAATATATTCACTGACAAGAATTCACGCATGTTAAATTCTTACATTTTATTCCCTTTTTGACAATTTGTTCTAGCACTTTACATGACCATAGGTTGGAAACCAAATATTTATATTGATCTGATTGGTAACTGTTATTTGGGTTTCGGCAGGTCACTTTACACAAGTGGTGTGGATGGACAGTACGGAGCTGGGTGTGGCCATTGCTCGCTCGAAGTCCGGCAAGATCTTTGTGGTGGCTAACTATAGCCCAGCTGGAAACTTTGTGGGCAGCTTCGCCACCAAGGTCCCTCGACTCAAGTAAGGAGGCTCCTAGACGATCAAAGAATATGCCACAACATGAAAGTGCTGGAGGTGTTTGGACCGCCACCCACCGCACCAATCGGAAAATCGCAACACCTGCTTCCCAAACTTTGAATGGAAAAGGGGTAGTAGGATTGCCTCAGGCACATCCTGTGGTGCTAGTAATGCTACTCTATGGCCAAAGAATATATTAGTGAGGTGTCGGTCTTCAAGCCGTGGCTCAGTGACCCGGCATCTTTTCTTTGGTTATTCTTCGACGATGGTTGAACATCATCCTTGGCTCTCCAATACACTCACACGAGATTATCTCTCGACATCTTTCTAGCTCCGTCACACAGTACATAATGCTGTATTACATAAAATAAATTTGTATCTATGTTTAAAGTACTGTAATAGGATTTTGTATTGTCAGTAGTTGCTCAATATGTTTGTAATTTTGTATCAGGTTTGATAAGTATTGTATACTTGTTTTTATACACACTTTGGCACTGTGTTGAATGCGAATTATAGGTATTTATAAAATAAAAGACAACAGATTTCAGTCATTAAATATATGAAGCTATCATTAACTGTTATGCTTAATTCCTCACCTTTGTTATTATCTGGTTCAAGTAATTTTTGTAAGCTTTATCCTCATGGTGCTCATATACATGCTAGTTACTCACATAGTTGCTATTTACTCATTTTGTGGCGACGAGGATCACTACACTACTGCAGAAGGAAGAGTCTCAACCATGAGACATTCTAATATCATTTCCAGGAGATACAGAGTGCTGAGCGTGCCACTGTCACGTCATGCGTTGTACTGTAATCCTATATATACATATAAATACAAACGATTCCTGACTATTTAATCATTCTCTAAAATGTATAACCTATTGTATAAATAATTACCTAAAATGTATAATCTTTTGTATAGATAATTCCCTAAAATGTATAACGTATTGTATAATATAATGTATTCTGAGGTGTCCCTCCAAAGAGGCTATATTAACAAGATTCGGCAAATATTGGAATGACGGAAGCTGGTTGAAAGTTTAGTGAGATGAGGTATTGGACCACTCCTCACATCTCAATCACCTCTCACTCAAGTCATGTCTCTACCTGATAATCAAAATCTTAGTATGGAGTAATCCTTTCGTTATTCTAAGTTTTGCTGTCTTTGTTATTTATTCACATTGTAGCCTAAGAACAATTTGCATGTAATTATACCAATATAATTATTCCATATGGCCTGTGATTGATTAGGTTTAATATAAAGTAAAATCGAAATGCCTTTCTTTTTCACCCTTTGACAAGATTCTATATTTTGGGGAGGATGGGTACAAGATTAATTGGTACTCGTGTTCCATTTATGAGGATGTGATGTAGAATCTGACATATATCAAAATATAACTATTACAAAAACTGAAAATATATGTAGCACAGACAAAAGTCAAGAATTATATAAGTCTTGTAAGATTAAGCAGATGTTGATCGTTTGGTGATCATTTGAAGGTGTTGATGGTTACTTGTGTGGATGATCACTAGAGATGTTGCTAATCATGTGATATTCACTATCAATTAATCAGGCCCAGAGGTCACGCCCTCTCCGTAGAGTGCAGTCGCACCTCCACAGATCTCCAGTATCAGCTAATGATACTGGTAATGGCTCCAAAGGGCTATTCATACCTATGCCACCTTTTGGGTGGCTTAATCTTTATCAATCAATCAATCGATTAATCAGGGACAGTGATGTTTGAGGTTAACTATGAGATAGTAAAGGGGAGTAAAGCAAGTATCGTAGAGGACGAAACCTACATCCTTTATCAACGTGCTGTAAACAATACACCCTTGATAAAGGATGTATAAGTTCTTCGGAAAATCTGGGTCAAATAACACACCTCCGTGTAGGATCTTTCCTTCACTTTCAGTAAGCAAATTGTTATGTACAACCCTAAGCAGGAAACGAGTGCCACTTAACTGCTGTTACTGGATCAGGAAGTGAGACCAGACTGTCTGTTCCTAGTGCGTTGGAGCCGCGTCTCTAAGCGTCGTCATGTTGTGGCAGCTGCACCTTTCACCACACACGATTGAATTAAGTTTTATTATTTGTGTTACATGCTGTTAATTAGTTGCACGATTTGCAAAATAAAATTAGGTTTGACTAGTAAATGGATCGGTGACCAAATGGACTTGGTCACCCGCTAGCCTCGTCTTGACTAGCGGGACCGCGGCGACGGTATTTCATTTGCATTTATCATCCTCTGTGGTGATGACTACTGACTGCACCATAACTACTGACTGCACCATAACTACTGACTGCACCATAACTACTGACTGCACCATAACTACTGACTGCACCATAACTACTGACTGCACCATAACTACTGATTGCACCATAACTACTGACTGCACCATAACTACTGACTGCACCATAACTACTGACTGCACCGTTGGTTAAGTCTAAATATATCATATCAAGATGAATATAACACAGAACCAGCTAAACATGAGTTAAAAATAAACATGAGTTTATAATTGCCTTACTTAATGCCCTTGCCTTCCTTGTCTCATGGACCGACCGAAACGTCGTCGTCTCTTTAATTTCTAGTGTGTGGTTTGGTCAACACTTTTCAGCCACGTTATTGTGACTTTTCATCTGTGTATGAGTTTATAATCTTGTGGGTGAAAAGCATCTCCTGTTTTCTGTCTTACAATGTGGCTTGTTGAGCTTGAAACCGTTGCTCCTTGTTTGTGTTACATTTGACCTTTTGAAGAAGTTGTCTGGATCAATATCCTCCAAATTGTTCGGTATTTTATAAGTTTCGATGAGATCAGTTTGCATAATGAGAGTACGATAGGTTTAATTACTATTATAAGAATATTAGGCGCTTCCATTATGCTTTACGTGTGAATAAAGAATAGGTTGAATAAGTCTTGATTTCATTTTGAAGAGATTTCAAGGCTTTGAGTTCACTTTATTTACATGACGTGTTAGGATATCTCTGGTGATGACCGTAGAAATAATATGTTCTCTGATGGAATTTTGTTGTTTGTGCTTTGCCAACCGCCTTGAAAAAGATGTTGTTGTCCTTACCTGAATTTTACTTAAAGGCCACCAAAAAATTACAAAAATCTACCATAACTACAGGGACGTAACTCTGATACCAGAAACGGTAGAGACTAATAACATTGCAAACCGGACATAACAAGGCCGATCAAAATAAAGAACAAGTTTAATTAAAAAATAATAATACTTCATTGTATCGGGGGACAGGCAGGCAGTGTATTTATACACGTTAGGTTTATATCAAGGTCACCCCCTCCATAAGGTCGAATTGCTAACCTTCACCGGAATGCAACCCCCGCAACATGATGACTAACTGCTGGGTATCTATTTATTGCTAGGTGAACAGGTGCATTAAGTGATTGAAAATGCGCCCAACCATTTCTGTCCCGCCGGGGTGAAGAAGAAGGTAGTAATGATGGTGGTTGTAGATGAGGGGTAGTGAAAAAGGCGCTGGGTCTCTGCCCAGGCAGCAGGTGTCCAGGTGTCTTGGGTACTAGAGGATGGAGGGGGGTGGTGTCTGTATAGACACTGAGCACGTATTGTTATTGATGTTGATTCCTTATGTTGGAGCATGCAGATACGTTGGTGAATAGGCGATAAAGGGATAAGGCAGGATCTTCGGCCTAAGCAGGAGATTACCGTAACAATAATAAATGAACTAAACTAACTTAAAACCACGAGCAGTACTAATATCATTTATATTTAGGTAATTGAGATTATATATATATATATATATATATATATATATATATATATATATATATATATATATATATATATATATATATATATATATATATAAAAGTTTGTGAGTTTTCAGTTGCATATTGTCCTGGGGACCATTCAGGCTTGTTCGCATATATATATATATATATATATATATATATATATATATGTCGTACCTAGTAGACAGAACGCACTTCTCAGCCTACTATGCAAGGCCCGATTTGCCTAATAAGCCAAGTTTTCATGAATTAATTGTTTTTCGACTACCTAACCTACCTAACCTAACCTAACCTAACTTTTTCGGCTACCTAACCAAACCTAACCTATATAGATAGGTTAGGTTAGGTTAGGTAGGGTTGGTTAGGTTCGGTCATATATCTACGTTAATTTTAACTCCAATAAAAAAAAATTGACCTCATACATAATGAAATGGGTAGCTTTATCATTTCATAAGAAAAAAATTAGAAAAAATATATTAATTCAGGAAAACTTGGCTTATTAGGCAAATCGGGCCTTGAATAGTAGGCCAAAAAGTGAGTTCTGGCTACTAGGTACGACATATATATATATATATATATATATATATATATATATATATGTCGTACCTAGTAGCCAGAACGCACTTCTCGGCCTACTATGCAAGGCCCGATTTGCCTAATAAGCCAAGTTTTCCAGAATTAATATTTTCTCAAATTTTTTTCTGTTGAAATGATAAAGCTACCCATTTCATTATGTATGAGGTCAATTTTTTTTTATTGGAGTTAAAATTAACGTAGATATATGACCGAACCTAACCAACCCTACCTAACCTAACCTAACCTATCTTTATAGGTTAGGTTAGGTTAGGTAGCCGAAAAAGTTAGGTTAGGTTAGGTTAGGTTAGGTAGGTTAGGTAGTCGAAAAACAATTAATTCATGAAAACTTGGCTTATTAGGCAAATCGGGCCTTGCATAGTAGGCTGAGAAGTGCGTTCTGGCTACTAGGTACGACATATATATATCTTTATATACGGTAAAATCTCTAGGAAGTGATTCGGCCTGCTCCATCATCACCTATTCTATCATACCACGTCTATATATTCAAGTACTGCAGCCACAAGAACAACAACAACAACTACTTTCCAGACAATACCACCAGTCTACCTACCCCAAGGCCCGTCACCCTTCTCGCACCTGGCGACGCCTCGGAAGCTCATGCCATCTCAAACAAGCAGTTAACGAGCTGGTTCATAGTTGAAGAAGCTAGTAGCGCCACCTGCACGGCCGTCGTCGTGTATATATAGGGGTACCTAGCCCACTACGATTACCGCTCCTGTGCCAGGTAAGTCCACTACGGGCTCACCATAGCCCGTGCTACTTGCCCCGCTCCTGTGCCAGGTAAGTCCACTACGGGCTCACCATAGCCCGTGCTACTTGCCCCGCTCCTGTGCCAGGTAAGTCCACTACGGGCTCACCATAGCCCGTGCTACTTGCCCCGCTCCTGTGCCAGGTAAGTTACGGGCTCACCATAGCCCGTGCTACTTGCCCCGCTCCTGTGCCAGGTAAGTTACGGGCTCACCATAGCCCGTGCTACTTGCCCCGCTCCTGTGCCAGGTAAGTTACGGGCTCACCATAGCCCGTGCTACTTGGAATTTGTTCCAAGTAGCACGGTTCCAACTGTTCCAAGGAATACTGTTCCTTGGAACAGTATTCCCGCATCATATTTTATTTGCACATTAACGTAACGTAAATTTGATTGTTCATCTTGTTTGTTTTTGCACACTTTGTATTAGAGCCAAGGATATTATTTTATGTTTTGTAATTTGTTTAACTTCAGTTTTTTAAAGTAAAGTATTTTTAAATTATTTTTTCCCTCTGTCTTATCCTACAGTTACCTCACAGTGAAGACAACTTGCAGTTTAACTTTTTTTTTTCCTTTTTTTTATTATTTTATTTTTTTTTGTGACTGGGATTCCATCTGCCTAGAGACTAAAATACCACCTATTTTTCTAGTCACAAATATATATATATATATATATATATATATATATATATATATATATATATATATATATATATTTATATATTATATATATTTATATATTATATATATTTATATATTATATATATTTATATATTATATATATTTATATATTATATATATTTATATATTATATATATTTATATATTATATATATTTATATATATATATATATATATATATATATATATATATATATATATATATATATATAAATATATATAATATATAAATATATATAATATATAAATATATATAATATATAAATATATATAATATATAATATATATATATATATATATATATATATATATATATATATATATATATATATATGTCGTACCTAGTAGCCAGAACTCACTTCTCAGCCTACTATTCAAGGCCCGATTTGCCTAATAAGCCAAGTTTTCCTGAATTAATATATTTACTATAATTTTTTTCTTATGAAATGATAAAGCAACCCTTTTCTCTATGTATGAGGTCAATTTTTTTTATTGGAGTTAAAATTAACGTAGATATATGACCGAACCTAACCAACCCTACCTAACCTAACCTAACCTATATTTATAGGTAAGGTTAGGTTAGGTAGCCAAAAAAGCTAGGTTAGGTTAGGTTAGGTAGGTTAGGTAGACGAAAAAACATTAATTCATGAAAACTTGGCTTATTAGGCAAATCGGGCCTTGAATAGTAGGCTGAGAAGTGCGTTCTGGCTATTAGGTACGACATATATATATATATATCTCACAAAGAACTCTGACCCAGCCAGGATTCGAACCCATGCCGTCCAGGATCACCCCTAAACGTACACAGTACCTGACCACCGCACCAATGATCGTCTGTCATATATATAAATGATATTAGTACAGTACTGCTAGCGGTTTAAGTTAGTTTAGTTCATTTATTATACACCCCATCCTGTGAATGGTAGTGGAAAGGCACAAAACATAGGCACAAAAGGCACAGAGGCACAAAATGGGCTCAGGGACTCAATCCGACAATTCACTTGGCTAACATCACCTTCCACACTTACACTTACCAATTTGTTGAATGAATTCTACCTTCAGACATTGCCTTCAGAGGGATGGCATTCACAACAGCTCAACATTTTATATATAGCGAAAACTAATCTTTTACTTCAAAAATGATCTCCAAATTATCCGTAAATATACATATATGCAACAACGGGAGATGATACAAACCAGAAATTATCCATGAGGATAAAATGTAAATATTTATTTCCTCCTCAAATGCAGTGAACATAAACATCAGGCTGTGAAAAGTTCATTCTGGGGAGGGCGCACGTGTTTTTAGCCTCCTCCCTCCCCTGCCTGGTGGCCCTCGGTTATGGAGGCAGCAGGGGCCAGCACTGGGAGGAACACTAGATACATGATGGAGGGCGTCGGGGCTAGAGTCATCAGAGGACCAGACTGGAAGTGGGGAAAACAGGTAGGCATCTCCTGCGGTGTGTGTGTGTGTGCGGTCTCTCGTCCCAGCTGCTCTGTCAGTTATGTTGTGCCTCCCTCACCCCTACCTCCCTAATGTGTTGGGTGGTGCCTCCCTCACCCTAGTTCCCTTCTGTGTTGGGTGGTGCCTCCCTCACCCTAGCTCCCTTCTGTGTTGGGTGGTGCCTCCCTCACCCTAGTTCCCTTCTGTGTTGTGCCTCCCTCACCCTAGCTCCTTCCCGTGTTGGATGGTGCCTCCCTCATCCTAGTTCTCTCCTGTTTGGTGCCTCCTTCATCCTAGTTCCCTCCTCTGTGTGGTGCCTCCCTCATCCTAGTTACTATTTATGTTGTGATGCCTTACCTTATGTCTTGTGTTATGCTTAATAAGGCAAATCCAAATACCAAAATTTAGAAACCACATCACACAGCACTGTTGGCTCATGATCGATTTGTTCTGAATTTGGTTTCCTAGACGGGAAATAGGAACCTGGGAATTAGTAGACTGTAGTTGCTGCAGTGTAGTGGACTGTGTTATGTGGATAGTCAGTCATTGGCCAAAATGACCTCAAAAAAAAGGGAAAATCAGACAATGAAAATAAAAACAAAAACTCAACTTCTAGTTAGATTATTATTAATGCATTAAGCATCCTCTGCAGTAAAGATACTTGCAATACACCTCTCCAGATCCCTTTATATATTATTATAAATGTTTTGATTCTCGAGCCTTTAATCATTATTATTTAAAAAATATTTTAGGTGTAAACGTAAAGTATTTTTTACCATATTTCTTTGTGTCGTCTACTTTAAAATAAGATGTATTACTCAGATGAAAGATCTTGTAAGAGCAGCATTCCCAACAGCAACAAGTTGTGTGAGTAGAATCAATGCACATGCATTTACACTAGGATCCCGGTAATACAGTTGGGTTCGTTCTCGACGCACAATCGAGAATTCCAAATTTGAATCCCGGGTGGGACAGAAATGGTTGGGCACATTTCCTTTCACCTAATATATCTGTTCATCTAGACGTATGTAGGTACTCAGAGTCAGTCAGCTTGTCTGTGGGGTTGCATCCTGGACGAGGTCATTAATTCAACCTGGGAGGGTGGGGGGGGGGGGAAGGATCATAATAAAAGCTTAAAGTGTATGTATACACTCTGGGTTCCTGTCCCCCGACACAAGGAATTATTATTATTATTATTTGGTTTTTTGTTTGCTTAGTAATTTTATTTGGTCCTGTAGCAATTTCTTTTTAATCTTCAATTCTTTATAAAAAAATGTACAAATCATTTGCATAGAGATTTTGTAATTAATATTTTCTAATGTATTTCTTAAATTAGTTATTAGCTATTTTAGATTTGTTTAAAATCTATTTTACTCTAAAGTTCCTTTATTTACCACATTTATTGTGTTTCAGATTGGATATACAGTAATTAAAATTTTTATATTTTTATTCAGGATGGGGGTGAAGGACATGTGGGAACTGTTAGAAATTTTGAATCTCCAGAGGAGGTGGTAGTTGTTTGGGACAATGGAACAGCCGCTAACTATCGCTGTGCTGGTGCCTATGACCTTCGTGTATTAGATTCTGCACCAACAGGTAAGGAATATTTTTTAATTTGAATTAATAAATGATTATGACATTCTTGGCAACTAGCATATGGGTTATGCATGAATTATTTTATATTATGATTGTCATTCAGTAGACTTTTGGGGGTATGCATATCTTTGCTCATAGCAAAGCCTTTATATAATAAAATTTGTTTAGACTGTACTCCTCTTTGCAAAATTTATTTCCGACTATTTTTAGTTTTGGCCCGAGGGGCGAGTTTATTGGGCAGCACCCTCATCCTGTGAGTGGACGCACTGCCATAGCAGTACAGTATGTACAAAACTCCCAAATAGGAAAAAAATCCACTGGGTTGTTCATCTTGTAACTTATTCCCGGACACAGCTGGGTCTTTCTTTGTTCAGGACTCCTCTCATTTCTTTCAGTAGAGATATATACTGTATACTATATAAATTTTACATACAATTTATTAACAAAATAAAAATTGACAAAGCTTAGAGTTCCATAGATGGAAAAAAAAAGTGCTACTGCACCTGAAACTTGGCTGCAGAGATTGAAATACAGCTTTCAAATTACAGTATTTGTGTAATGCCAAATAAGAGTTCAAGGGGCCCATTTATAATCCTTGGAAGGTGCATAGAAAAATTCAAGCAATGTCTCTGTGTGCAACAAAATACAATTGTCTTCCCATATTATTAAAACCATTCCCTGGGCATAGGAAGATGTCTAAAAAATTGTATGTCACTTAGGTTTAGTGAACTAATGAATTCACAACTTGTGTACCGTCCAGGAGTGTCAAATGTTGCAGTGTGTCTAACATCATATTAGGCCCCTATGCACACTTAATATGATATATGTGTTTAAATGTTTAATTACAATCACTTTAGGATTTTTAAGCTGGCAGTTGACTTAGTTTTTTATTTTGTTTAAAAGTTAATTAAAAAATTGTTGAGTATTAGGAAACACTCCTTTCTGAGTGGCACTTCAGTTGCTTGCTAAACTAGGGCCAGAATCAACCTAGGGCACTGTATGCACCCTAGACTATCATGAACTTTAGCCCTAAACTGGTGGCAAGGAACTTTGAAAATGGTCTTGCCACCTAGTTTGGGAGGGAAGACAGGGTAGATAAAGCTCAAACCATAGCATTTAACGCTTATTATTTGATAATTGGATTCACAGAGACAGCCAATTTTCTATCTGCTGACTACAAGTTAGGTAGTGTACTACACTGTACAGTAACTGCCTCCAGATGACACCACCACCATCACAATAGATGGAATAGTAGCCAGCCCTCACTTGAAGCCCCACCACACCAGCAAGCACAAGAAATAGGAACTGTAAGACCAAACAAAAATGAGAGTGGAGCTGCTCAGAAAGGAACATTTTAGTGCTTTATTTCCCCCACATATCAAATTCGCCACAGAGACTGCTCCAAGGAGAAAATGCCCAAAAGGAAATAAAAACATAATATGCAACTTGCCCGAGTAGAAACAACCAATCCCGCCATTGCTTTCAAGGAAAGACAAACCTACCATAAAAAGAAGAATCGGGTTCAACACTAATTGGGAGTACCATTAGGCTCAAACTGGCAGACATGACGGGAAATAATCCTGAAGCAAGTAGAAACAGATCAACAAACCCTAGAGTAAAGCCTGAAGCAGCATCTTGGATACAGGAAGAGTGTACTGTATGTACACTCGCCCAACCCCTACCATCGGTGATGGGGAAGAGTGAGGATAACCACAGCCTAAATAAAAAATGAAACAAAGCTATTTTAAATCCTTAAGTGAAACATTCGTCTGTAGAGAGTTGCAGTGGAAGAGCTCGATTAAAATTCCAAGCACAGACTGTTTATGTAAATGTAAGCAGAGCTCGGCACTAAGGCCTAGACCACCAACAATCCCAGAAGGCCTAGACCACCAACAGTCTCAAAAATTATCTGAGAACTTTGGCATGACAAAGTAGGAGCCTTTAAATACAGTACAGGGTATTTAAATTTAGATAAAGAACTGATAGATTCCTCTGGATTAATCGGCATTTTTATTTGCTACTTTACAGTTAATGTAGTATTTTGTACCTCTAATCCATAAGTTATTATGCTGAAATTAAAAATATTTATTTAAATATAATACATTATTTGCTTTTAAGAGCATACAGTATTGACAAAGTTGATGGTCTGTACCAATTTTAATATGTATTAACCTACCTTGTATTCAAATGTCCATATCTCCTATCTTGTGTTAAAAAATGTTTTCGTCAGTTATATCTTGTACAAGAAATGAATGCCTTCACTAGTCCTGCCTTGTATTAAGAATGTTTCCATCAATCCCATCTCTTATTAATAAGCTTTTGGCTTAAATGAGGTCTTTCTGTGATTTCAGGAGTGAAGCATGAAGGCACAATGTGCGACACTTGTAGACAACAGCCCATTTTTGGAATACGATGGAAATGTGCAGAATGTAACAATTATGACCTCTGTTCTGTCTGTTACCATAGTGACAAGCATAATCCTAGACATCGTTTTTATCGCATTACCACAATTGGGTGTGAAAGGTACAGTTACATAAAATTTCATTAAACATTTTTTCACCTACAATTGAAGATGTGACTATATATGTTGAAGCAATTTATTCTAAAATGCAGTATAGCTTTCTTTATAATTTGAAACTTGTGTTGGGTGACAACCCCACAGTAGATAAGGGTTAGCTTAGCATTACCTCTTTATACATTAATTTTAGGTAAGTCTTTAGCAGTAATGCCTCTGAAAACCTCATAACCACTTGGGTTGGATTCATATCCTGGGAAGAAAATTTAGCGTTTATACGTATATATTAAGCCTCTTAAATGAATAATGTTACTGTAATTATTGTAATGCATAATAGTTACCTTAGTGATAACAGTGCACATACAATCAGTTTTGAATACTGTAATGTTAATGCAAAAATATTTAATTTTGTTGTTGTAGGTTGATGTATTTTTCTTTCACCACGTGTGTATTATTTTTTGTATCTTAATTTGTACATAATGTTGTGTTGTTGTATGAGTATGCTGGTGTAGATTACTCAAATTTGTTACCCCTCAGAGTCTTACTTGAACCACGGCGCAAAAGTAAAAAAATTGGCATCCGTGGGATATTCCCCGGTGCCAGAGTAGTGAGAGGAGTCGATTGGCAATGGGAAGACCAAGACGGAGGAAATGGTAGAAGAGGTAAAGTCTCTGAGATTCAGGATTGGTCTGCAGCTTCACCAAGATCAGCTGCTTATGTCATCTGGGATAATGGTGCCAAAAACTTATACAGGGTTGGCTTTGAAGGAATGGTAAGTGGTCAGCATTTGATTGGGGTATATAAATTGGCTGCCTCACATAAGCAGTACAATTACCTAAGCAACATTTACAATTTTTCAGGAGATGATTTTAAGTGTTCCTTCCATATCAAATACTGAAATATAGCTGAAATAGCTTACAGGGGAACAAGGTGTCAAAGTGAATTGTTGATAAATAGCATATATCATCTGGTTGCTGTTATTGATTAGGTTATTGCTTTCTGGGAGTGTCACATTTACATAGATTATGGTAGTCTTGGTATTGAATATTATCATATCCAGTACTCAGTGCTTATTTGAGTCTTAAAAGGTAAAATGTTAAAAGTTTGATTTGTTTGTGATGGTTTATGTTATTGTTCTACTTTGCACATTTGTTTTTTGCAGTTCTGTTAAAATTATCAAAATGTACTACTATCTATGGGATTTTGTATATACAGTAAGCCTATTACAGATGTACACACATCTTTGCATATTTGTATAGCAATTTGCATTGATGCAATGAAGATTTTTCTAAAGCTGTGTTCCTTTTTAAATTCAGGTATGTTATTTTATATCATTGATTATTGCATTATGCTATTATATCAATTCCAGGCTGATCTAAAAGTAGTAAATGATGCAAAGGGTGGCACTGTGTACCGTGACCACCTTCCCATGCTTGGTGAGCAAAACCCTGGCCGCTCCGGTCCTCATGGGCTGGCCATTGGAGACCAAGTAAGTGTAAGAATTGTTCCATGGCTGCAGTTGTCTTGTTTTAGTTTTAATAAATTTAAATGTGCATGTGTAATAATGGTCAGAGAGAGAAGATGCTCTGAGGAAATCTTTCCTGGTCAATAAAATGGTGTCAAAGTGTGATAGCACTTGTATGAGATGCATTATAACTTTCTCCTCTTTACTTAAGTAATTTCTTGTGTTTTTTTGTTTTGGTGGGGGAGAGGGTCTGGTTTCATCAGTTCATTAGCTAGTTTTCTTTAAAGCTTTGTTGATCCAGTCTTCTGGTGCCTTATCATTTTTGAGGGGTGTTGGGTGTATTAAGTTAATACAATATTATTAATAATAATAATCACAATATTAATAATTGCTTCCAGTCAATTATCACAAGATTTTTAATATTCCTGATTTAACATTGCAATAAATGGTGATACTTGCTGTAAACACTGTACTGTATAATATGTGATGAATATTACTGTATATTCATTGTACATTATGAGGTAATATGTGTTAATGTTTTACACTTGGAAACCTCTTTGCAAAGAAATTACAGTGGTACCTCCATTTTTTAATTTAATCTGTTCCCAGAGACGGTTCGAAAACCGAAACAAATTTTCCAATAAGAAATAATGTAAATTGAATTAATCCGTTCCACACCCCCAAAAATAATAACTTAAAAATACATTTTATACAGTACATACAATTACTTATATTTTGTACTACAGTATGTACAAGTATATTTTACCTTTATTGAGGACTTGCTTTTAGTGAGGAAGGGGGGGGAGGAGGAGAAGAAGTGTTTGTGTTTGGAAGGAGAGCCCCCTTCCATTATAACAGCAATGATGACATTTCTGGGGTACTCTCTCTTTTACGTTTTGTAGGCATACTACTAGGACCGGGTTGTGGCTCACTGCTTGCTTCTCTTAATAAGAATCTGCCTAAATACATTTGTTTTCCCTATGTTTTAACACTTGTCTGTAGTGAGACATCACATTCTCACTATGAATGATCTCTTGTTTTTCCTCTATGTATTGTCATCCTCACAACTATTTTCTTTGGTTGAACTTTACCATTGATTTTCTTGGGACCCATGGCGTGATATATAATAAGAACTTTTATGTTCAGAAACCAAAAGAGTACAAAAACAATGAAATTCTTCACAATGAATTCAAGTGCAGTCGTCACTAGGCAGGAGACACTGGTAAACTGAAGCGTGCCATATGCTCGGTCGGCCCCTATGTGTATCAACGAACTCGAGCACCGAGTCGAATTTGTCAAAGAAATTGAGCTCGAGAACCGAAAAAATTGAAAACGGGGGCATTTGAAAACAGAGGTTCCACTGTAATTTAATTTAATGATGTCCATGGCTCCTAGTTTAATAATTGTTTTCTTTTACCTTTTATGCAGCCATAACTCTCACATGCTTATTACAGAACAGGTTGGCATGTGACCTGATTATTTATATGAGTAGCTTATCTTAAAAACCATTTCATAATTTACATTTAAAAGTTATGTTTTGTAATAATTTGGTAATCAGCCATTTCCTAACCTAAAGGTATTCAGTGTATGAATCCATTTCCTCAAACATAGGTCTCTTCATTCAATTTACCAGGTGTGCTAATTAGATAAAGAATACGTGAAGGGCAGAACAAATTGTGACGAGTCTGTATGTGGAAAACCTACCAAACTTGTGCTTGTTTTATTTATTGGACTAATGCACACTGTTAGGTGAGGTAAGGTTAGACTTGGTTTGGTTTACTTTAGAATGGTTTGACTTGGCTAGGTTAGGTTTTTTATTTGCTTATTTTTGAACAGATTGTTTGATTTGGCTAAGGAAGGTTAGTTTAAGGCTATTAGGATAGATTGGTTAGGCATTTGAAGAGCATGGGGAAGCAGACTTGTAAATTTTACTTTTTTCGTCATTTACTCAATATAAACAGTATTGTTGGTAGACTGATTGATCAGGCATAAGATCACAATAGCAACCATATAATCAAGCAAATGCATTGAAGGCCCTAAAATAGTACTGTATATGAAATTTTTGCTGTATAAATATAAATTGCTCGTCACTTCCTAACTTACGTGAGCAACCACATGCACATTACTTGCTGACATTAAGAAGCCTGATATAATGTAAAAGATAGTGTATCATTTGATGATGTAAAGTGAGTTAACATCTCTTGTGCTTGATGCCATGGATATCAAGCTACCTCAAATCACACTAATAGGTGGATGGGGTAGCAGAGAAAAATTGGTGCATAATTTTAATAACACGAGAAAAACATCTGTTTATAGATAAGTTGTCAAATATAATCTGTGCTGCTTTTCTGAGGGATCTTGAGGTGGTTCCTCTGCCCAATTCATAGATTCATTTGTTAATTATTTATATATGGTATATCTTTTCTTCGTGTAAAGATTTTTATTGATATTGTACAAAATATCAAAATAAAGCAACAAATTTAACCTTTATAGATAATATTAAATGCATCAATATCAAATACTGTGGTGTGGTTAGATAAAGCTGAATTAAAATATAGTATGAATATTAGCCATGCTGTATTTAAAACTTGTACATATGCATCAATACAAGTACTGTATATTGAAATTAAAATATTGAAACTGGAAAGAGTAACAACAACTGATAAAATATGCAACTATTGAATTACATGTATGACAAAAGATTTCCTCAGATCATTACTTCTCATTCGTTAGTGTTGGCCAAAACAATTGGTTATTATTATGTGATGAATGTACAGTGTGTTTTATTTATTTTTGTTTAATTTTGTTTGTGGAATGCAACTGATATATAATATTTCAGTATTTGATGTATGTTTTCTGTATATCACATCTTGATATTTCATGGCAAATGTTAGTAGTGTAGTTGGGCTAGTGCATATATTACAGTATTTAACATATTTGGCTGTTAAACATTATTTAATCAGTTTTGCTACTGTCAGTTACCTCTTCTTTTTCCTTCAGCTTGATGAAAAGTGTAGGATTAGCAACAAATACACCTTGTAAAACAATTAATTGAATTTAAAATAATGTGATGTTAGCAAATTCTATTCTCAAAGTCAAAATATGGTCTGTGCACATAGCCTGTTTCTTGTTTCAAGCAGGGTGGTTCTATAAAGAACCTAAAATGCTTCTCTCTCTCTAGTCACAGACTCTTACCGAGGCATCCATTTCAAACAGGTGCTCCCTAAATTTATTTTTTCTTTCAGCTTTCACACACACACTACAGTAGCTTGGTATCTTCTTTTGATAATTACTTACACACTACAGTATATGTTTGTTTAAGTTTACTGAAATATTAATATACAGTATATATATATATGTCAGTTTTTAGGTGGGGGCATTCAGTGCAATTATGCGAGTCTTTTTCATTATGTTGAAAACCATGGCTGTCTGAAAAATTTAAACAGATGGGTAGGTAAATGGCTATGAGCTTGAGATTGTTAGCGACTGTTACATTGCTCTAACAGGCCAACATCATTTAATTTTCTTTATTCCTCATGGGAAAAAGGGGTCTTAAGGCCAGGGTCCTCAGTGGCTGGCCATAAGCCTGCGAGTGGGATGGCTTTTGTGATGCTACTTACACTTACTATCCTTACAGAAGAGATGGAACATGTTCTCCATCATGCAGGTACCAGGCAAAGTTCACACCTGCCTGCTCATTCATGAAGGCTTGAAGAGCACTTGTAGCTCATTTTCCTGTACACTGTGCATAGATTATTTCAGCATCTGCTTCTCTATTTCTTTTGCTTTCAAATACACAAACTCTCGAATATTTTAATTTCATTAACCAAGTTAAGGTGACATTGCGTCCTCGTGTTATAGATATAAAATATCTATGGTAACAGTTATGACAAGCTCTTACTAGCTCCTCCACCTCACATAGAACTGTTGTAACAGCTTTTAGCTAGCTTGTTTTAATTCCATTGATAACTGAAGCCAAAAATATTCCCATCTCCTTACAGTGTATTTTAATTTTGCCAATAACGCTCTTCAGTTTTTTCTAATTATTATTTCTTAAAAGTAAAATCAGTCCTTCTTATACAGTTACAGGTACAATTACTATAAACATAAATTTTATATCAATTTGTATTTCTTCTCCTCTATTTGAAATACAGGTAGATTATTTTAGTAAACTGTATCTAATGCAACTCAATGTTATTTATCTAAATTTCAATTATTACAGCACTTCCCAACCACATGATCATCAGTCATTATTCATAATTGTAAAGTAGACATCAAAATTGCACTAAAGACTCCAAGCAATATTGCCTGTAAGGTCTACATAAAATGAAATACCTATATGTGAAACTAATGATACAGGTAGGCTCAGAATTTTTTTTTGCTTTCATTTTGAATACTTTTGCCATTGTTTACTGGTGCTCTCCCAGTGCAAGATATGATGGATGCTCGCTAAATTACCTCCTTTAATGGGACAAAATTTAAAGAAAACTATTTTATCAGAGAACGTGGCAAGTACTGTATTTTAAAATAAATTAATATATACTGTATGGATTTTGGCATAACTTGAGTTTCCATTAATTTTCTGGGTGAGCCCGACACCCTCCCTCTTCCAGGGAGTTGGTGATGGTTTTTACCATCATCATCGAGCTGAGGGTAGAGCAGCCGACTGACACGGTCTGTGTTCCTCCTTCCCCCAAATGAGATGGTGGGAAAGGGGGGAGGGGGGTGAGGCAAACAAGCTTGTGCTAGTTTCCTGAATTTTTATTGCTTACATTGTTGGGGACTTCTTTTTGGGGATTTAGAGGCGATTATTTCTTCTAATAAACAGTGGTCTGTTTTTGTTTCGCTGACTTTGTGGGTGCCTCTCCGGTGGTAGTGGACATGATTAAAATTCACTGACAATTTTATCATAGTGGCACTGCTCTCTGTGCTTCTTTAGAGGGGACTAGGGTCTGTCTCGTGGTCCCCGATAGGCCTAAAGGAACTCCGTGACTGATGGCACCTAGTAGTTAGCACTATATCAG